ACAATTATACCTGCCATTATATAAAGCTAATTAATATTAAATAGAATATTAAAACTGATATTCTAGTGTTCCTTCGTTTTTATAGCATTTGAGACCGACAATGACATATCAAGTTGACTTGATGTGAACTTTGGAATATGCTTTATAATCTGCTTGTCCAAAGATATTCTCCCACTTAAATACTTTTTTAAAAAAAAATCACTAAACTTTATACTGTTGAAAAGTACATACTAATTCTTAATGGTCACAAAATATTTAAGGATTTCTTTTCTTCTGTGTATAATATCATCTCAGGAATAAAAGAATACGTGCAACTTAGGTCAAACTAATACATCTCTTTAACCATTAAATCCTATATTTGAAGGAGTTACTCTTCACATGCTCTGCAAAAAAAAAAAAGAAAGAAAAGAAAAAGAATAAAAAAAGAAAACAACACATGAGCAGTACAATAAAACATCATGTATTCCACAGAAGTCCGGATAACCAATTACTTTAAAATTTCACCATCTGCTCTCATTGAAGCAGTAAGACGAGGCATTTCCCCACGCCACAAACCATGATAATCAGAATGTAACAGAATGAGAAATGCGAGCTTCGCCTCTCCTTTCTTATTTGCTGTGGTGGTTTTTAATGAAAACTTGAGTATACAGACAAAGGCAAGGGAGGCCTTACCTCCGCCTCTCTCCTAATTGAGTGCTTCTATCCAGTAATAGCTTTTTGCTGCCCTGGGCAGCTTGACTTTGCCTCATTTGGCCAAGCACAGCTATTATTCTAAGAGGCAGCCAGGGAAGTGCCCCAATCCATCTGTTTGCTTTTTCATGGGCTGGTGCTTTCCTTGATGTTGACAGCTGTCTTAATATTCCTGGACCACCTGCCACACAGTAAATACTGTGCTCGAAGAGAGATTCAGTAGTTTTCCCCTCTGGTAGAGTTTCTACAACAGCAACAGAAAAGCTCAGCATTTCTAACCTCCTCGTGCATCCTCGTTTAAATGCTTCAAGGATCCGCAGCACTTCCTGTCGACTCTCATGCATTTGAGCACTCTAGTACGTATGCTTTGGGAATAGCAATTTACTCACAGGTGACAAGAGTGGGTCTTTCTCATATATCATGTGGGCTACCGGACCAGCCTTTTTTGGAAGTGATGTAGTCACAGGAGGTAGAGAACAGAGCATTCAGCCAGTTGCTTCCTTCTGTGAACTCTCTGGGACACCCCTCCTCCACATACTCCTCTAGGCTAATTTCCCTTCTTTAACTTTCTATATGGCTGCTTTCCCATCTCACATTTGCTCTTTGAAGGAAAGCATATTGTCTTACTCAACATGTGCATGTGGCTGACACCTCCTGGCCACGTAAGATATATTAAATTTTCTGATATCTGCAGTGTTTAAAGCTTTGAGGGAATCTCTTTTCATATTGATTAAGGATTTCATACACACATATAATGTGCTTTGATCAAGTCTAGTCCCCATTCCTTCTCTTCCAGCTCTTTCCCTATTTCATCAGAACTAATGCCTTTTGGGGGTTCTCTTGAAAGCAAAATCATTTTCACTGAGAATTAAATTTATATAAAATGATTTGGGACATAATAGAATGCAAATTGATAATTTTAGATATTGACTATCCTACCAACTTAGCAAACTCCGTAAAAGCAATATATTTTTTCTATTTGCTACCTGGCATATATCTCTGTATTAAAAATTGATAGTATATTCTTTGAAACCTGTTCATATAAAAGTATTTTAATATCACAGTATATACAAAACAATGGAATTAAACAGAGCAATCCTTCCATTGGTTCATTTGTTATTATTTATTATTTATAGAAAGGCCATGAAACAAGCAACATACACACTCACATGTACATATACAGCTCAAAGTACCGTTATAGGCTTAAGGTCTTACAAATAAGAAGTCCGAAAAATTCTATTTGATAGTTTACATCTTACAGAAACAAATGTTTGGAGTGATTGCAGCTATAAAATTATAGAGCACATTACAGAGCATATTACTATCATGACAGAAATTATGCCATTTAGAAACAATTCTATCTCTTGCAATGGTTTCTGCTGACATCTGCAATACATTATATATGTCATATTTTAGCTGCACTTTTCCAATCTTTTTCCACCTTCCCGATACGTAGGAAACCACAGTTGTATTCATGTCTCGACAGAATGTGTGGTCTTGCATCTTGGGTGTAAATCTTGATGAGTTACACAATGAACGAAGTGGAATTTAAGTAACAGCTGAACTAGCCTTTGGAGAGGAGCAACTTGAAACTACATAAATATTTCCCCAGAAGTTCAAAGCCAATGTATTCTTCATTCATCAGATCTCAGTATGTGCCCAAGAATTCTAGAACCTATTAATTCTAGAAATAGGATGGAGGAAAAGTCCTGTGGTCTCAATCAACTTAAGTAAAAACAACAACAACAAAATTAAACTTATTTTAAAAAACCAATCTTTTCTCATTTTACATAGCTATCCCAGTTCCCACTCCCTTCTCTCCTCCCGCTCCCCCAACTTCCTCCCCACCCCAACCCCTCATCCACTCCTCAGAGCAGGTAAGGCTCCACAAGCTGAGTCAACAAAGTCTGACACATCTCTTTCAGGCACGATGGAGGCCCTCCCCCCATATTTGGTTGAGCAAAGAACCCCCTCAAAAAAAGGGTTCCAAAAAGCCAGTTCAGCTATCACCCACATTCAGTGGGCCTAGTTTGGTCCTATTCAGGTTCCGGTGCTCTCAGTCCAGAGTCAGTGAGCTCTCACTAGCTCAGGTCAGTTGTTTCTGTGGGTTTCCCCATTATACTCGTGACCCCTTTGCTCATATTACCGTTCCTCCCTCTCTTGGACTGGTCTCTTTTTTATTGTAATTTATTTTTTTTTTAAATTTTCACAGTCATCTAAGAACATGTGACCATCCAATTACATTGCTCACACGGGAGAAGGCTATCAGGTGCCTTCAGACTTAATCAGCTTCACAGTAAGAAGGCTCTTGTCTCAACCACTTACTAAATGTCGAAATGAAAGCAGAATGAGTGAAAATAACTGGGCAAAACTGTAGCTCTAAGATCCTTTTAACTCTAAAATTGGAATTTTTTCCCACAGATTTCATAATGAAATCCTAGAATTTAGAATTCAAGCGTCTATTATTAAAACTTTAGACTTAAGGCTATAGAACATCTAAAAATCTGGTAAGTATTGGGAAAGCAAATAAATGAAAATTCAATACCAAGGACTTTCCATATTGTGATTCTAATGCATGTTCCCGGGAGACCGGCTATACAGAAATATTAATGTGTAGACTACTGTAGCATTTTTCTGTTGCAGCTAATTCTGAGAGAAATTGCATTATTTAAAACCAGAGTTACTTCTTAATCTTATTGGCTCCCTGTCACTTTTATCCACAGAGAGACTCCCTGTTGGCATCTTTCAGGCCAGCACTGAGGTGGAAGAACCTCTTTCTTCACCGGACAAGTTGGAGAGGCAGCTGATATTCAGTTAACATTGCTTTGGGGAGAACTATTATTTTCCAGGCCTGGTAGCCATAGGAAAGAATTTTGCTCCAGGTGTTTGCTTTTGGATCCCCTCTGGACTTTCTGAGTAGTAGATCTTTTATACACATTCTCTTCCAAGATAATGTTACTTTGGAAACTTTTCTTACAACTATCTAATTTTATCTGATTCTAATCTTTTCTCATTCTCACACTAATTTCCAATCCAGTTGAGTTGATGAACTAAAATGCTTCAAAGGAGCAGCTCTGGGGCAGCTGGGAGGTTCCTTAAGGAATGCTACAGTTCCCTGGGGCGTACAGTTAGCTGTGTAACCTGCTCACTTCTCCTGCCAGCCACAAAGGGAGATTACTTTCGTGGGTTTTGTCTAGATAACATTTTTAGTTACTAAATGCCCCTCCACGTTCTTGGATTTCTGGAATTTGGCTTTAGACAAAACAAAACACCTGGGGGAATGTGCCCCTGTGCTTTCTGCACTAGCTGCTACACTATATACAAAGTCATGTTATTATAACCAGATACTCATTTTCAACTTTGCTTAACCTTGCAACCTTTGGGGTTGCAGACTACAGTAACGCCTGCGTAACAGCGAACTATTTGTTTCAACGTTTTGTAGTTTGAGTCATACTTGAATCATATTTGCCTGTGATCAGTGTCATTTTGAGGAAGGATTCTGGGAGTAGTCCATAGGTGAAGGGTGAGAAGTAAAGCACACCTGGATAGGGAGTTACAGCTGAAGCAGAAACAAATTGCCGACAGCTGGAGAGATGGGACCCTGGTGTCTTCTGCCCAACTGGCTAAAACTGTCTTTAGAATGATTGCATACTGGTCCCAGGGCAGCACAGGTGTTTCCACAGACCTTCATTGATGACCCTCTTTTAAAACTACTAGCATGGGCGAGGAGACACCGCATTTACAGTAACTGTTCTCAAAACTAAGTGGACTACGGGCTGGGGTGGCTTGGGCGGGAAGCAAGAGCCCAGCATCCACAGGCTGCTCCACCCGGACCTGCTGGCTGCGGGTGGCGGGGCGGTGGCGGTCGCTGGCTCCTCCCGGGGGGCGGGCTGCTCCGGT